CGACCCGGTTTTGCAGGACCCTCCCCTGGTGGGTGGTTCTGGGCGGGTGTTTGCAAACGACACTCTGCAGCTCGGTGCCCTTCTTTTCCACACTTGAAACAGGCTGAAGATCTCGGGGAGAATGCGGTTTGTGGTTTGAGGGGCTCTTGCTTCCATTGGGGTGAGAATTTCTTCCATACTCGCCCCGCTCGATACTGGTTTCTGGCCATATCAGTCTCAGCTTCTTCGGCGGTGACATACCATTCATGTAGGTCATTCGGTGCCCCTCGGGCCACGCAGGCATTGTATAGATCATCACTCAGCCATCCTTGAAACAGCTCACCAAAATATCTTCTGGCCAGTGCACATGACATGCGAGGTCCTGGAACTCTTCAGTATACTCTGCTACTGGCCGTCGCCCCTGCTTCACCACCTTAATGCAGTCACATGCTTTGCGATCTGCCAGTGGGTCCTCGAACTGACGTCACAGGCCCATCATGAAATGGTCGAAATTCCGCAGTTCTGGTGCGTTGGTGTTATGTAGGGTCACCATCCATCTGGCTGTGGCACCCTCTAGGGCTAGGGTCACAACTCGCACTCGGGAGCCTTGGGTTTGGAAATCATGCCCATACTCTTGCATGTAGGTTAGCACATGTGCCACAAAGAATCCTAATTGTTGCGGATTCCCATCAAACTTCACCCCAAGGGGGGGAGTTTCTCTTTCCAGTTGAGGAGCTCAGGGTTGGTTGGGAATGGGCGCCGGTGTGCGTGCTGCCTGGGGGGGAGGGTTTGCTGGGTCTTCTCCCACTGCTGCTGCACCGTCTGCTCGATAGGCGGGCTCCAGGAGGGGGGTGCCTCCCCAGGCATCATCCACGACTGCTGCCCTTTCAGTGCTCTTTGGTTGTTGTCCTGGCTCCCTTCGGATGTTGAGATTTTCCAAAGTTTCCATCACCAATTGGGTTATATGCCTCTTCAGATAGTCCTCCCTCAGGGGTGCTTTGGTCAGTCCCCCCTGGTCAGTAAGGGCTTCTAGTTCCAGTTTCGGTTTTCTGAAACTGGAACTAAAACTGGAACCGGTTTTCGGTTGCCACAGTTGAGGGTGACTCCTCTGGTTCTCTCATCCCAGCCATCTTTCTTTCCGATGCCAATTGACCAGCGGGACTTTTCAGGATTCTCCAGGGTTACCTCATCCTCTCCGATGGGTTGCACGAGACGCATCCGACTGGGTGGCGGTTGCTGTCTCTCCCCAGCAATCAGTTTCTCCCAGCTCACTGCTTTGTTCAGACATGGTTTGCAAGGTCCCCTCAGTAGAGCGAATTGCTTCTCTGGGTTGACCGTTTTGCAGATTGTGCTTTCTGTAAGGATCACCTCTCCTTCCAATTTAAGAAAGTACAAACTCTTGAAACGTAGTTGTTCAAAAGGATTTTTTTATTAAGCAGAAGTGAAAGCCATCCAGCTAAAGCACAATCTGAATACCCTTAGGCAAAACAGTAGGATTAAAGTGGTTAGGACCCCTCCCTTTAAGTCAGAATGCAGATTTTAGCCAATACACAAGTGTGAAGATGTTTTCTTTACTATTTCCTTTGAGAACCTGAACAAACATGCATTCCCACCACTACCCTTTAAAGTGAGACAACCCACATGACTATCATATAAATTCCTGCAGGTAAAGGGAATCTCAGGCTTCCTTGGCGCCAGGATATAGGTTGTAAAATATCTGATGACACAGGCCATGCTAGTAAATCGAATCCAAGTCCCCCCTTCCTCCACTTGAATGGCAGTATCACTTTTAGGAATCTGACATTCCACATTCTCAGCATATTTAGGTTGCACTACGCAACCTAAAGCCATCTCTATCTATTGGCCCTGATGGGTTATGTGTCTACTTCTTGAAAAAGCTTTCCACTGCCCTAGCCAAACCTCTAAGCACAATCTATGAGGTATTTTTCAGAACCAGCTCCTTGCCCGACCTATGGTCATTAGCCACGGTCATTCCTATCTTCAAAAAGGGAGACTAGTAGAAAATTACAGATCAATCTCACTGTGTTGCGTCACCTGTAAAGTCATGGAATCAATTATAAACCAATCCATCACCCTCCACTTAAACACAAACAACCTGCTTTCTAACAAGCAGTTTAGTTTCAGGAAAAAATTGTCCTGTAATCTGCAACTCCTACACTGCAGAAACATTTGGACCACACATAGAATCCCTTATGCTACCAGACTTGAAATTTTGGGTTTGGACAACCTGGAACTACGCCGCCTATGGTCTGACCTAAGCATAGTACACAAAATTGTCTGCTACAATGTCCTACCTGTCAACAAGTACTTCAGCTTCAACCTCAATAATACATGGTCAAACAATAGATACAAACTCAAGGTTTGCAGAAAATATGACTTCAGCAACAGAGTGGTCTACCTGGAATGTTCTACCTGACAACGTTGTTATATCCTCAAACCCCCACAGCTTCAACCTTAAACTGTCTACTGTGGACCTCACCCCATTCCTAAGAGATCCGTAAAGGGGGCGTCCATAAGCGCACCAGAGTGTCGAGCATCCAGCACTACTTGACACAGAACAGACATGAGGGAAACGGAAGGGAATAGAAACGGCGAGAAAACCTGATCCAGCAATGACACATGCCTCCCACATTACTGCTTAGCATGGGTGTTGGTGGTGGAAACGATAGGGTGTGGATAGGATGATGTTGCACAATAGGTGGTGGCGGGCATGGCAGGGACTTGGCAAGGATAGGTGCGGTTGGACCAGCCAGATCTAATAACATCATCCGGCCTCGACTGTGATGGGGAGCAGACGGCGGATTCAAACCACATCACAGCCGCTGAACGCTGGGCACAGCTGAACAAGGTGAAATGATTGGTGATTGGCGGTGATAGATTGAGAGGAACTATAAGACGGAGCGAGATGACCGATCGCTTAGCTCCGACTTTGATCCACTCCAGCGGGTCTGGCAGTTACTAGATTGTATTGTATTAAACCAGGTTTGATGAACATCCATTGTGTGTGTGGTTACTCAGCCCAGAACGAACCCAAGCCTGGAACGAACCCAAGCAAATAAGAATTGCCAACACAGAGTGCCTACCATCCCTGTCCTACTGTCCCCATTTATTTGTACTCATTTCCTGTGTTCATGTCCATGTTTAATTTATACCTGTTATCTTATACATGCTTGACAAACTAAATGAATAAAATAAATAAATATTTTAGTAGTTTTTCCACTGAATAGAGTTAATAGTAAAAAGATACCATATACCTTTATGGTTTTAAAAGAACAGATAAAACTGAAATAATAAATTGATTTATTAAACTAGCATAAATATTGAGTGATGCAATCCTATGCCTGTCTACTCAGGCACAACCAATAAAAATCTGGTTGTCCAGATCATCTAGCTAAATGTGATTAGAATAGGATTAACAAACCTATCTGTGGATATGAGGGAGGGGGTAGTTTTGTTGGAAGTCCCTGATATCAGGGACATTTGTTGATGTCCCTGATATGTTGGCCAAAATTCTACAAGTCTCTTCCCCATCTCTGCTGAGATTATCTCTACAAATGGGGAATTCCAGTGGCAAAGGAAGGGCAGTATCTCTCTGCTCCTGAAATCTCCATTTTCCTGATTAAGCCCTAATTTAAAATAACCTGGTGATACTTTAAACCAGGGGTGTCAAACTCAAGGCCTGCGGGCCAGATCTGGCCCATGGAGTGCTTAGATCAGGCCAGTGGGGCTGCCCTGGAAACAGCGAAGGACCGGCCCACAGTGCCTCTGCCAGTGAAAACGGAGCTTGGGAGGGCTGTGCACGGCCCTCCCAGGCTCCATTTTCAGCTGCGATGGCCTCCTGCAGCCCTCTGCCAGCAAATGCCCCCCGAGCTCCATTTTTGCTGGCAGAGGGCTGCAGGAGGCCATTGCAGCTGAAAATGGATCTCACAGGGGGGCACAGATTTCATTGTCAGAGGGCTGCAGGCAGCCATTTTGGCCAAAAACAGAGCCTGGGAGGGCCGTGTGCAACCTCCCTGGCTTCCGTTTTTGCTGGCAGAGGGCTGTGGCAGAGGTCATAGCAGCTGAAAACAGAGCCTTGATATGTGACATTGAACTGGCCAGACCCATCCTGGCCATGCCCCATGCCCCCTAAGGTCAAACACAACCCTGATACGGCCCTCAATGAAATCGAGTTTGACACCCCTGCTTTAAACATTTTCATTCTTTTGGAAATCAATTCCAAGATCCACCAAAGAAGAAAAAAGAACATGCTTCTGCTGCATCCTTACTGTTTTGTCCATGGAATTCAGTATGTATTTATTATTCTCTGAGAAATATGTACAGAATTTGCAGCCTATGTGTACTAACAAGAATAAATTATTACATGAGAACGGCCAGGTGTCAGCCCTGGAGGCCATCTTTTTCTTTGGATCTTCAGGGCTGCCACACTTGGTGGATGGGCATGCTGTGGGAAATGGGAGGGGGGTTGGATGGAGATGGGGTGAGATGTATAGCCATAACAAAATACTTTCCCTGGGAGCAGTGGTGGGATTCAAATTATTTAACAACCGGTTCTCTGCCCTAATGATTTCTTCCAACAACCAGTTCATCAAACTGCTCAGAAAGTTAACAACTGGTTCTCCCGAAGTGGTGCGAATTGGCTGAATCCCACCAGTGCCTGGGAGTCAAGGACATTCAGCCTGCACCTGGAGAGGAGTGACTGAGAAACAACTCCAGTTAGGATGGTGACCTGATTGGACCATGTGATGGACATGTGGGTGCAGGGGAAGGGACTTTGACTTTCCTTTGGGTGGGGAAAACCCAGGAGACTTTCAGATTCGGGTTTTCCCAGATGTGCCAATATGACATCTCTAATAAAATGGAACTTTGAGAAAATGGCTGCCTCAGAACCTTACTTCTGTCGGGGGTGTTACTTGGAATCCTGACATCGGGTCTAATTAGGAAATAGGATCTTTATGCATGACTATAAATAACACGAGAAGCATGAATCATGAGGTTACCTCCAAGTGCAGTTATCCTTTGTGAAATAACCATATAAAAAACATCCAACACCAACTATTGCTGCCAGAAGTAACATCCGGGTGTAGAATCCCAGCCAGGCAAAATAGATCCCAATTTTCTCACCATAGTATTTCCTATGGACACAACAACATCCCTTGAATATATAGATGTGTATTTCCTTTATTAATAAAATCAGTTTCTCATATATTCAAGAAGAAAACATTATAATGCAATGTGCTACCCTGATTTCTGTCTTTAAGAATGATTCCAGGATCACTCAAAAGTAGTTATGGTTATTTTTTTAAAATAGCAAAACTTTAATTAAATGAAAACTAAAGTTTATAAAGTTTCTAAACTAAAGTTTATATTTCCTTTCCTTTCACTTACCTTGTGCCTTAACTTGTTTTGCTTACTGCTTCTTTTTCTTTTTCTATGCTATGCATAACATATAGTTCCCCCCTAATGGGAATAGCATAATGGATTATATGCATGTATGCATTCTCATTACACAGATGTTAAAATAATAGAAACTTGCTCAAAAGGAACAGAATCCTCGATGATCAGCTGTTTTCTATCTTGCAACTTTTCTGAATCCAGTTAAACTGTTTCAAAATTGATCCATGGCAGAGTCAGAGGATTAGACTTGAAACCTCACAAGACGCACAGGAATTTTACGAATCTCAATTTACTCGCTTTGATCGAGAAAGTGAAGGGGAACCAGAGAGCAGGAGCTTGGAAGATATTATACAGGAGACAAGGATGGAAAGTCATGGTGAACAGGAGAAGAAGATGAACGGAAAAGAAAGGGTTGGGGATGGACTTGGATTGCAAGTGGAAACTAGATCACAAAAACAGAAAGCCACAGGTAAGTGAGGATATGGAAGAGGAGCTACACCTGTTTTCAGTGAATATTAATGGTCTAAACGCCCCAAATAAAAGAAAGTTTGGCTTAACCTACAAAAACAAAATTATGATCTAATTTGTCTACAAGAAACCCACATACATAAAGACCAGCAAAGGGTGTTAGTTTGTCCCAAACTTGGGAAATTGTATGTATCCCTGGCCAATCAGAAAGAACGAGGTATTGCGGTGTATGACCGTAAAGGATTAGTGACTCAACAATTACATGCAGATGAAGAGGGAAGAACATTATGTTTGGAGATTAAAATAGGTTTAAAAATGGCTTTACTAGTAATTATCTATGCTCCCAATATTGATCAAAAAAACTTTAAAAAAAAACTATATAAGAAGATAGCTGATCTCGATTATGAAAATGTATGTATTTGGGAGATTTTAATGCAATCTCAGACGTAGGTAAGGATTATGAACCAGGGAGGGGATCCCAAAAATATGCAAAAGGACAGAGAAAAACACTATCAAAAACTTGGGACAAATTGGCAACTGAAATAGGACTGTCAGATGTATGGTGAGATTTACATCCTAAAGAGAAACAATACACCTACTTCTCCCCCAGACATTGGTCGTGGTCACGGATTGACATGTTTTGGTCAACAGCAGAGGCGATTAAAGAATTGGAGATAGGTACAAATGTATGGGCAGACCACCATCCTATAATAATCAAATGGGCAGGGGTTAAAAAAAAACGAGCGAGATGGTCCATGAGAGCTGAATTAATGAAGGAAGAGGATTTTGTTAATATGATAAAAATAGAACTACAATTTTTTTTTTTATGGAAAACAAAAGAGAAGACATTTCTTTACAAAATACTTGGGACACTGCTAAGGCCGTAGTGCGAGGATTAGCAATAAAACACTTAGCCCGCAAGTGGAAAGAAGAAAGGTCAAAAAGGGTGGAGCTAATATCAGAGTTAGAAAAAATGGAAGAGGTGTTGCGATTAGACCCACAAAATCTTAAACCCAAAGAGAAAATAGAGTTAATTAGACACGAGATTTCATTAATAGACCAAAAGGAGTTGGCAGACAAAATTAGGAAAAGCAGACAAAGACAATTTGAACATGCGAACAAAACTGGAAAATGGTTAAATTATAAACTAAAGAAAGAGGCAGAAGCAAGAAAAATAGAATACCTACAGGATAAAAATGGAAATTTGGCAGTTAATAGGGATCAAAAAGTAAAAATAGCCCAGGAATTTTACGGCTCCTTATATGGAGAAGAAAGATGTCAAGAAAATAAACTTGGGGAATATCTCCAGGGACTTCAATTGGAACTGATCCCCAATTCTTTTAAGCACACTTTAAACAAAGAGATTACTATTGGCGAAATTGAAAGAGCTATTAAGAAGCAAGCGGGGGGGGGGGGAAAGTCCCCTAGGCCCGATGGTCTCCCAAGTGAATTATACAAAGGTATTATTGACTTGCTGAGTCCTCAACTAAAGGAAGTATTTAACGAGGCCTTAACAGATGCCAAGATACCGCAATCCTGGAGGGAAGCTTATATTTCGTTGATCTCAAAGCCCAACTCGGACCGATCACTAATTCAGAACTACAGACCAATCTCACTCTTAAATGTCGATTATAAGATCTTTACGACAGTACTAGCAGAAAGACTCAAAATATTTCTTTCCCACTTCATCCATCAGGACCAAAATGGCTTTCTATCTTATAGACAACTTTGAGACAACATAAGAGTAATTTTAAATGTAATGGAGTATTATGAAAGGTATTCAGACAAAGATATGGCAATGGTATTCGTAGACGCCAAAAAGGCCTTTGATAGGGTCAATTGGAATTTTATTACACAACAATTAAAAATTATGGAATTTGGCTCTAAATTTATAAATGCAATTCAGGCTATATATACTAAACAGTCGGCCAGGTTGCTATTTAATGGAACAATCTCAGATGAGATTAAAATCTCCAAGGGTACTAGACAGGGTTGCCCTCTCTCACCATTATTATTCATTTTAACTTTGGAACCACTTCTCAACATAATCAGGCAAGACAAGGATATTAGAGGCCTAAGGATTAGGGAGAAGAATACAAGCTCCAAGCTTTCGCTGAAGATCTTGTATTCATCTTGGAAGACCCTCTAACTTCAGGTCTGATATTGCTAAGGAGAATTGAAGAATATGCAGAAGTCGCAGGATTAAAAATTAACAAAGATAAAACTAAAATGATATCCAAAAACTTAACAGAGGATCAAAAAAATAAGGTGCAGGAAGCCATGGGACTTAAATTTACTAAGAAGGTAAAATATCTAGGGATTTGGCTGACAAACAAACGCTCTAATATTAAAGAGACCAATTACTTTAAACTATTGGCTGATACAGTAGAGGACCTAGATAGATGGAAGAATATATAGCTTTCACTTTTGGGCAGGGTTGCTGCAATCAAAGCCCATATCCTCCCATGGTGGATTTTTCTATTTCATACGGCTCCTGTAAATTTGGATAAAAATTTCTTTAGGAATTGGATCAGGTAATAAGCAAATTTATTTGGCAAAACCACAAATTAAAAGAAAAATGCTACAGGAACACAAAACGAGGGGGGGTCCCTTGGGGCTCCCAAATTGGGAGTTATACTACCAAGCCTCATCCCTTCTTTGGATAAGAGATTGGGTATCCCTTTCGAAAAAACGCATATTAACGGTTGAGGGATTTGATCTTCACCAAGGCTGGCATTCAGCTCTGTGGGCACAACAAGGAAAACAATCTAAATATTTTATTAACCACTATATTAGAAGAATTTTAATAAAAATATGGGAAAAGGTGAAGAAACAAACTTATACTCAAGTTCCTAAATGGGTGGTCCCATTGGAGATAGCAACCTACCCGACTGTTTATAATATAAAAAGAAATTGGACCTACAATGTCCTGATGGATGGAGGTGGGAACTTAATATCAAGAAAGGAACTTCAAGTAAAAGGAATAGATATAGATTGGTGGTCATATGCCCAAATTCAAGCTAGATTCAGAAAAGACAAACATGAGTATGGTATTTACCAAACGACACAACCGCTAGATAGACTCCTTCTGGGTGTTGAAACAAAATTTATATCTAAGACCTATATTCTTTTGCTATCAAGCTATACAGCTGAGGAGATAGTAAAAGATGATTGCCTGGGGGAGAAACTTAGGAAGACCGAATGCAACTTGAAGAATGGCAGGCAATATGGAATAGATAAATGAAATTGACATTATCAGCGGCATTTAAGGAGAACTTTTATAAAATGATATATAGGTGGTACCTCCCACCAGATAGGATAGCTAAAATGTTCCCTGGATCCTCGGACAAATGTTGGAAGTGTAATTTGGCCAGGGGTACTTTCTTTCACCAGTGGTGGACCTGCCCTCAGATCAGGAAATTTTGGGAAAAGATTCAAAAATGGTTGAACGAGATAACAGATGCAAGTTTCCCCCTAACTCCAGATTCTTACTTGGAATCAAACTAAAAGACGTGGGCAAACAAGACTGGCACCTATTCATCCATAATACAACAGCAGCGAGAATGGCACTTGCCCAGCATTGGAAAAATACAAATACACCATCAGATCAACTTATAATAAATAAGATATTGAATTGTGCCGAATTGGACAAATTAACGTATATCCTAAGAGACAAAAAAGAATCCATATACTACAGTAACTGGGAACGCTGGTATATATGGCTAAAGAAGAGGACAAATATAGAATAAATAACATAGTATTAAATATATATTTAATTATAATGAGATAGCGTTTGATATTTAAAATAGTCAACACTATTTGAACAAAAGGATTTACCAGGATGTAACTATGAATAAGTATCTGGGGGTTCGAAATGACCCCCGGTTAGTCTTTCTTTGTGGTTGTTTTTATGTGTTGTGTTGTGTACCTATATATAACTTTTATCTGTTTGAAAATTACATTATATGTTTTTTTATTTGTAAATAATTAATAAAGATCTATTTTTAAAAAACAAAAACAAAATTGATCCTGGAGTGTGTGACTATTGTCTTACTCACAGTGGGAGACAAACGTGCCTTTCTTCCTCCATGTCAGGGGTCCCCAACCTCAGGATGAGGCCCACCTCTGGGCCTTGAGCCATTTGGAACTGGGCCATGGAAGTGGCAGGTGAGCGCACTAGTGTGCATGCGTATCCCCACTTGCATAAATGGAGCTATGTGCACGTGCATGCTTGCTGCTTGCGTGGAACCATCCCCTTTCCCCTCCCCACTACTGGTCCGCAAAACCAAAAAAGTTGGGGAACTCTGCTCTATGCCACGGGAGAAAGAAAAAAAATCCTGATATAGAATCTAAGAGGAAAGAAAGACAAACCGGTCTTTATTAGATGCCTTGCTCAAAGTTGAATTCATGAGCAACATCAACATCAGATGTTTTCCTTTGTTGTCTGCTCCCCTCCAACAAACTTCCAGGCTGTTTTATGAATATTTGGGGTTTTTTTTCAAGTAAAAGTGCTTGGCATTAGCACTTAGACTTATATACCACTTCAGTGTTTTACAGCACTCTTTGAGCGGTTTATAATGTCAGCATATTGCCCCTAACAGTCTAGTACTCATTTTAGTGACCTCGGGAAGATGGAGTCCCCTTGAGCAAGTCAGGCTTAAATTCCTGGCTGTGGGCAGAGTTAGCCTACAATGCTGCTTTCTAACTACTGTGCCACCAGGGCTATATAGGCTCTACTTTAACTTAGCTGGAAGTCTGTGTGGCTTCCATTTCTTTCCATTCAGTCCCTTGGAAAAGCAATTATCTATTTCATAAACTGTGATACACAGGAATTACTTGAAAGAATAACTCTCACATTTCTTTTATCACTAGGATGATCTTTTCACACTGTGAATTTCAGTCTGGAAGTTCAATAAGAGTTTCATAATAGCAGTTCCAATTGTGAATAATCAGGTACTGTATACACCACTATGAACTTTATTTTTCCAAAAACTTTTCAAGAATCCAACATTCTGTATTTATGAAGATATAATATGATCCATATGATTTTTTTCCTGAAGCTTATGTTCTATACTCATAGGCAGTCCTTGCTTAACAACTATTCTGTTTAGTGACCATTTGAAGTTATGAGTGCTAAAAATATAACTTTAGGACTGCTTCTGATATTTAGAACTTTTGCAGTATACTACAGTCATGCCATTTTCATGTTTCACAGACAGAGTCAATGGAGAATTTGGCAAAACAATCACAAATTGTCATCAAATGATGTCTCTCTTAATCACAGGTCACTTAACAACCTCAGGAGAAGTGAGGTCATAAGTCCTTCACAGTCATGTGAAATCTTATTTAACAACCATCTCTTAGCAATAGGGTTGCTGGGCCACTTGTAGTCATTAAGCAAGGACTACTTATATATGTATTATCACCAATGAACTTTTAAAAATATTATTTTAAGAATAGTTTTACTCATAGTATTATTATTAAAAGTATTAATACAAATATAAATTAATGCAAAATATACTTAGACTATTAGAGGCCTGGATGGCTCATACTCTGATGACATTCAGGAAATAATTAAAAAGCTGGTAATTCTCCCAGGTTTGGGGACCAAGTAGAGCTTGAACTGCGTTTTTTGGTTTATATGTTTTAATTGCAAGCTGGCCAGAGTCATTGGCAATTTGATAGCCTACATACTGAATAAATTGTGTAAAGAAACACATCTTTGCTTTTTCTCACATTTGCCTAATGCAACATTATAAAGGCTGGTTTTCTATTAAATGATTATTATTCATAGAAAAAGAAAATAATCATAAGGAATGGTATAACACTCCTTAATACTTACCTGACAAGATCTAAGGGTTGCAGTTTGAAAATATTTCGAGGATAGGCCCATTCTCTGTATAGCAAGTGCCGTTCATTTGGGCACTTAGGATCCTGTGATTGGTAATTGAATCTTGACTATAAACAAAATATTTTCTCATTAATTGATGATTCAAGGGCACAAATTAAATTATTTTAATCACATTTAGCCCTACAACCAAGCATGAATAATAACTCTGAAGGTTTCTGAAATTACTACCACCTATATGCCAGATCAAGGGACGTGGTGGCTCAGTGGCTAAGACACTGAGCTTATTCATCAAAAGGTTGGCAGTTCAGCGTAACGGGGTGAGCTCCCATTACTTGTCCCAGCTTCTGCCAATCTAGCAATTCGAAAGCACGTAAAAAAATGCAAGGAGAAAAATAGGACCCACCTTTGGTGGGAAGGCAACAGCGTTCCATGCACCTTTGGTGTTGTCATGCCGGCCACATGACCACGGAGACATCTTCAGACAGTGCTGGCTCTTCAGCTTTGAAACGGAGATAAGCACCGACCCCTCGAGTCGGGAATGACTAGCACATATGTGCAAGGGGAACCTTTATCTTTACCTTTATATGCCAGATCAATATATATATTATCATTATTATGGAGGAAACTAGAATCTCCTGTATTATTTTTAAAAAGCTACTCAAGTGGTAATGGTGGTCATAATTGCTTTATTTTGTTCCAGTAGCAGATTGAGCTAAGACCTGTTCACGCAAATCAGTTTAAGGATCAGAAGTGGCACTTTTTGGAGTGGCGAAATTTTCTCTGACAGTTGTTTGTGTCTCTTTGAATGAAGAAATGTTTTATTTTTCTGTATAATGTGCAATCTTTTTCAAGCTAAGGATTACTCCTGAGTGGAATGGCAGCATCTGCACTGGAAAAATTTCTGGAATCAGGATAAATAATCATTTATCCCAGTGAACTCAATTTAATTACATTTTAAAGCTTGACATTTAATACAGGAGAGCAAGTATTCAGATTTCAAGACAATTTGGGTATTAAAAATCAAGACAATTTGGGTATTAAAAATCAAGATGTGTTCATGAATAACTCCTCTTAAAAATCTGTTATCATGACTACATGACTCCTCTTAGGCTAGCTATAGGTAATAATAATAAGATATTCTTCCAACAGCTGAATAAAACATCCAGCTCACACCAGAGTCTTAGAGTCACTTACTGGAAATGCAATTAAACTAGCTATGTAAAACAGTTGTCAAAATCCAGTCCCCAATGAATCATTCATGTCCTAAACAACTCTGAAGTATGTTCGTGACTAACTCAGTCATTGTTCATCTCATTGTAACTTCTTTTTCATGTATTTTCTCCTGGGAACAAATTTTGGTATATTCTACTTTGTCCAGTGTTAATAAGGACCAAATTTTATTTGCCTGTTGTGTTTTATTATAGTTCTAAAAACTATTATCAGGATTGCCAACAATTATACCATTGAAGACATGCTTCTGCAAATCTATAGGCAATTGTTATTTGCCACATGAAGGGACAAATTATAGCATAGCAAGACTAGCACTAATGAGGTTTCCTAGTTTGGGTAATGAAACATCTGCAATAAAACAACCAAGCTCAGAGAGCACGAAGGACCCTCATTTCAATCCTGAGCTACAAATATTCTTCTTTACTGGGACCAATTACAGAATTAAATGATCAATGCATAAAACTGAAAAATAAATTAAAAATATAGTTCAAGTGTTCAATTTCCAAACCACATAAATTTTATAAAATGTGAAAATAGAGTCTAAATGCCTTTGTTTAAAAGTAGTTGTATTAATATATTATTGAATTTCTACCTTCCTATTTTCTGCCCAGGCCTGGCCTAATCTGTCAAAGGCCTCCTGCTCTCCCTTCTCCAGCCCTGTTTCAAATTCCTTCAGAGGCCCTGGCCCTCTTGCCCGCTTCCTCCCCCACGACTGCCTCTTTGGGCTTACCTTCCTCCCGTGGTGGCTGGTGGCAGGCAAGAGGGGAAGGCAAGCTGGTTGCGAGATGCCTGCAGCCGCTGCCTCTGCTTCTTGCACCAAAAAAGAGATGGCGGCTGCAGGCTTTTTGCAGTGAAAAAAATTTACCAACCTCTGTCCGCTCCACTTCTCGTATGTGCCACCCTGTTCTATGCGCTGGCCACGGCCACACACCCCATTCCCTGCTGTGAGTTGGTTTGCCAAACTGGTAAAAACCACCCCTGGATTTGAATCAGTTCGCCGAACCGGTAAAAACAACCCCTGGTTGGCCCCGCCCACCTCCGCCCGGTCACTCAGTCACCACCCATCCCTGGCCACTTGCCCGCTCGCCCAGTTGCCGCTCACCCCTTCCAGTTGCTCACTCACCCCTTCCAGCCAGGCTGCATGGCAAAGGCAACACATATAGGGCGGGGGTGGGTGGGCAGGGTAAGTGGCTGGAAGGGGTGAGTGGCGACTGAGCGACCAAGTGGAAGTGGGCGGGGCTAACCAGGAGTGTTTTTTACCGGTTTGGTGAACCGATTCAGGTAATCCCTACCAGTTTGCCCAACCAGTCCAAACCGGTTGAATTCCATCCCTGTGACAGAGACATAATTATGTCAATACAATTTAGTATGTAAAATTTATACATTCCTTTGTTGCTGTCCATTGTGAAGATTTTTAGTTGAGTTTGCATAACAGAGTGAATTTGGTACATCTTAAAAAATGATCACAAGATTAACATTTTATATCAGTATAAGAAAAAGATAATTCTTTATAAATTAGACTCACATCATGGAGTGGAAAAGCAGCCTTGTAGATTCCAGAGTCCAGAAGTTTCTTGATACCAAACTTTCTTACATTATCTTTCGTAGCATACTCTTCTCGACAAAGAATAAAGTAAACCTGAAATACCCCCCCGCCCAAATTTCTTCATTAGCAGGGAATGAACTCAAAAAGTGGGAAAATATTTATGAGACAATACTTATGAGTACATGCAGTTACTAGGCAAAATATCTTCCTGCTGTAATTTTCTCTTGATATTTACCAGTGTTCTTTTTAAATACTTTTCCCCAGTTGCAACTAATTATGGCATAAACAAACCCTGGCAACAACTTTTGTTTGCTATGTCTCCATAATGTTGCCTTCATCTTCTCTTCAGCCTATGAATGAAACAGGCATAAGTCATCCTTAGTTGTTAAAATAGTATTTTCCCATGTATTATGACACTGTCTAAAGGCAGCTTCAAACAGTGCAAAAACTATTAGATTTTGTCATCTTGGGTAAAAATCAGGTAATAGCAGTGGTTTGTAACAGTGGCAAACAGCATTCACTTTTCTTGAATCTCTATGATGATAAATCATAGAGCTCAGCAGTAAGGAAACGTCTTAGTCAGGGGTTAGTAGCTGAATACATGTTTTTCTTTATTTGTGCCGTGAATGCTTCCACAGCCCATGTGAACTAATGCTTGACTTTTCAAAAAATACAGTTTTTAAAGCATATGGTCCTGGTTTCATGTGGGCTACAACATCTATAATAACTCTTATGGCATGTCCTGCAGACCAAAAGAGTTTGTGAATGTTTTCACAACATTGTGAATTTTCTGTTTTTTAAGAGTACTTTCACACAAACAGCTTTGAAAATGAACATTTGCATAATAAAATCTGTTGAAAAATCATGGCCAACACATTATAATTTGCCGATGTTCATATGTTCATGTTCATAATTTGGCAAAACAAATTATGAGAATAAAAATTGGTAGCACTGACAACGTCATATAGAAACCAGCCTTATGCAAATGCTCTTGGTACATATATTTCAATATTATCTATATTTGCTGACATCAGTTTGTTCATCAGTTTCAAAGAAGAGTCTTGCTCAGCTCTAACTGGAGATGTTTTGGACTAAAATGAGCATCGATTTGATTCAAATTATTCTTTTTTCTAGTGAGTTGTACTTTGTCTGCCACTTAATTTTTCAACGTTTTATATTTCCTTAACATTTGATTATATGCTGCAATGCATTGTTTTACATATTGCTTTGATATTCAGAAGAACAAAATAAACATTAGTCTAATATTGCACTTAAAAATACATCCTTTAATACTAAATTCTACAACTTACTATTCGGCTCCTAGTTGCTGAATTGAAGAAAGAGTCCTTGTCCTGAATATAAAAGTCTGAAATATGTTCATTTTCAAATGCAGCAGTAAAAAACTCCTGTTCTGGGTTGATGATATTTTCATCCACATTAAAGAATCTGCTAATCCACGTAAGTGCTGAGTCATGACTTTTCGTATCATCGGGTTGCAAAGGCAATTTGATGTGCATAATTTCAGCATAGCTACATAGCACTTCCCAAGGACCATGCACCTTTACAAAGATCAGCTTTTCATCCATGACCTGCAGTAAAAGGATATCGATTATAATATATTTATCTTGATAAAGATAACACCAGAAACTTTTCTTTGGGGTCTAATAGTCAAAGAATTTGATAAAAAATTTGGAACTTTGATCTTATACATATTGATAGGAGCAAGACTACTGTATGCACAAAAATGGAAGGACATTTCGATTCCCACCATGGACGAATGGCTGCAAAAGTTGATGGAGTTAGTAGAGATGACTAAATTGACTGCTTTGATAAGAGAAAAAAACAATTACTTTTGTTGCCACATGGAGAACACTTCTTTACTTTGTGCTTGAGGTAGAAAAAAATGAAACCTTGATTTTGGGCATTACTGATTAGATTGATTTGTTTTTATAGAAATGGCTAGTTTATATTATTATGGAAAAGCAAAAGGTTGTGGTTTGATGTTAATGCTTTTTTTTACTGCAATACAGGGAGTCTGAACTCATGCTTTTGTTTTCTTTCCCCCTGTCCCCCCTCACTTCTCTTTCCCTTTTTCCTCCCCACTGTCTTCCTATTTGCTTTTGCATTCTATATTTTACTCTATAATCTAATAAAATGTTTAAACAGGAAAAAAACTATATCTAAAATTTGAAATGGAAACATGGCTTCAACTCATGACATTTTTTTCAACAGCAGTAGCAGCACAGCTCTTGAATGATATATTTTTCTCAAAGTGTGCACCAAAATCCTAAGTCCCTGTTTTTCTTTTTTCACTGCTAGTTAAGATTGCCAGTTTCAGTGCCAGTTAAATACACTTTTTACTTAACATATTTCTCTTCATGCTTACTTACATTCAACTATATTTGCCATGCTAATGCTTTCATTTAGAGTGGTCTTGTAATTGTTCTACATAATTCAGAAATATCAGCAAACCTGAACCTTGCAGAAAATAAAAACATCAGTTTCTATTAAATTTTTTTTATTATTATTATTATTTATATGCCGCCCTTCTCCGGAGACTCAGGGCGGCTTACAATGTGTTAAGCAATAGCCTTCATACTTTTGTATATTTATACAAAGTCAGCTTATTGCCCCCACAAAGTGGGTCCTCATTTTACCCACCTTAGAAAGGATGGAAGGCTGAGTCGACCTTGAGCCTGGTGAGATTCGAACTTACAGTAATTGCAGACAGCTGGTGTTAATCACAATGCTATCAGTCTGCTGAGCCACCAGGCCCCATCTTAATTTTACATCCTAATTGTTTAAGTTTACACTTATCTGATCTACATACAAAATATGTATGAAATACATTCCAAGCAAAGTTGTATAAATAACACAATATTAACAGCTGTGACTGTAAATTTGTTCTGTAAGCATGATTACCATTCTGAAAATGTTTTCATTGATGAACATTTCCAGATGATGGAACGAGCACACAATTGATTTATAATCATAAATATTACCAATTTGAATATAAGACTTTGCTTGTTCTTAATTTTATTGCTTTCCTGTGATAATCTGAGTTTCAAATAATATATAAAGTTGATCTTACTAGCCTACAATATAAGTCGGACTAAGAAGAAATGAAGCAGGGCTGTCAAACTCTTGGCCTGTGGGCCGGATGCATCTCATGCTGGTGATGCCCAAGCCCGGTTTAGCGAAGTCCCAAAACATCTCGTGACTCCATCATGATGATGTGAGTTTGACACTCCTGCTATAAAGTGTGAATTTAAAAAGGGACATTTATATAACAGTTCATTTCAGCATATTTATGGATGGGTGCCTAAAAGTATGATGACTGCCATTTATGTTCAATTTTAATCAGAATATATAGAAACTGAATCTGTTTCTTTTTTGTAATGATATAGTCACTAGGGCTGCATATGCTTAAAATTGATACAGAAGGTTCCAGCACAAGCAAAAGGGGTGGTAAGTCCTATGAATTGGAAGTTTAATTACAGAAGAGAGTGTAATTTATTTTCCAGTCCAACCTCTAATGCATCTAGGCCTATGCTTTATCGCCCGCCTTGGTGTTCTAAGGAGGTTCCTTTAACATCATCAAGGGTTTGTTTTTGAGCTGTTAAATGTCTCCAGAGACTACTTGGCTCCAAAGTTTAGGGTGATCTCTGTCCTGGGATCTGCTGTCTCACATCATCTTCTTCCAGGAAGCCTCTCCTAACAATTTCAGCCCATTTAACAACTGGCAGTCACTTTCTATCACTCTTTAGTCAAACTTTTTCTGGCTGCAAAACCTGTTAGTGTAAAAATAAAAAAAGCCCTGATCAAGAGACCATGTTCTAGTGATAGAAAACTGGTTGCTTTCCAGTGAACCATTCTTTTCTTCTTAATCTCTCTGAATAAGTCCTCCCAGAATCCCACTGAGCACACATTCAAAACCTTGCCCTTCAATCAATCTTTCTTGTTGGGCCTCTTTGATAGCTCTCCACTGCTAACAGACTTGGACTTTTTGCTGGGCCTTGCTCACTGGACTGCTTCTGGTTTCCCATATTAAATATATCAATGAGGTCTGCTACTGCTGAACTGCCCTTGTTCCTGGCTCATCCCACTCTCTTTATGGCTGACCTTGCTTCACCTGTACCTGTTCAAGTTGTTGTAGCTTCAGGGAAACTTTAACTACCTGTAGCTGTGATTTTCCTCTATGTGTTTGCTATTTAACTTTTAGCTCTATAGCTTAAAGCAGGCAACTTTTGACTTGTCTTGGTCGCATTGAGTGAAGAGGAATTAACTTGGGACGCATATAAAATATACAATATAGTTAATGTATATAAATAACAAACTTCCTTTTTTAATATATATTTTTATTTGATCTTATGGGGCCATATTACTAGCTGTCCAGGGCCACATGTGGCCTGTAGGCTTGGGTTGCACCTGCCTGGCTTGAACTAAACAGTATTTCTTTCACTTTTTTGTTTTAACTATCTGTAAACCATGCCTCTCTCTTGGTGTCACACACACACACACACACACACACACACACACACACACACACAGAGAGAGAGAGAGAGAGAGAATGATAATTGCTGGATTTGTTTTTCATGTGAGAAGAAGCCAATTATCACACAAAGTGGGAAATTGAAACCTGTTCATTTTGTACAGCACAAAGAGGTATGCTCTTGGGACTAAATCACAAATTGAGAGCCTCAATACAAATTAGCATAGCTTTTATACCATTTAGAAATCCAAGGCACATGGTATAAAAGCTATACTAATTTAGAAATCCAAGGCACATGGGGACTTCCGGTTGGAGCCGCTGGGATACAGACAGGGAATTAGCGGGCTCTTTGGAGCCCCGCAAAAACCCCGTCTGCCAAGCCCCCGCCGGTAGGTCCTTGGACCTACCCTGTCCTGTAGGGACAGGGGGATAGAGAGGGACCCCTCGGATGGCTGAGAGGAATGGGCAGGTTCCTCGGGGCCGGAGGTTTACCCTCTGTGCCGGCGGCGGTGGAGCGGCTGCCCTGAGACCGCGGCAACCAGGATATAAGAATGTGCAGGAGGAGAGGTGGAGAAGCGGAGAGCGGAGCCGGGAGTTTGGATGCCGGGTGAGTGGACATTGGCCCAGGCAGTACTGCCCACAAACGCTAATTTACAATTACTTTGCCCAACCTTGATAGCGGCTGAGAACTATTGGGGCACAAAGACAAAAGACCTGTTGGTGGATAGCGTGAATTGCTGACTTCTTGGAGATGTTTGATTACAGATCTGGATATATTTTTTCTTTTCTTTTTGGTGGATAAATGAGATTGGACTGTGTCTGGGAGAGAGGAAGGAGAAGAGGATATAATTATGCCTTTAAAAGCAAAGAGACGGAGACAAACGGAGATGGACAAAATGGTTGCCAGCTAAAGTGAAAGTCTAAATTCCACTTGTTACTTGAAAAGAGAAACTTTGTTGCTTGTTGTTTAAACTTGACTATTTTGAGGAAAAGACTTAGAGAACTTGACTTAGGATATATAATCTGTACACTGGAGGATTTATTGAAGAATAGAAAGAAGAAATTAAATGGAACAATGATAATTGAACTAATAAATGTGGCAACAAAAGAAGGGTGTGGCAATAGAAGAAGGACATGATGATACCATATATGGAATTGCTTCAGAGCTAATTTTGTAGAATTCATAACTTTGATGACATTGAAATGGAAAAGATACATATCTGGATAGACTGGAGAAAGGAATTATGGAATATATCATGTAACAAGACAACAAAATATCATATTTTGATTTAAATGAATGTAATGGTTTCTGGGTGATTGAATAATGTTAGGAGATACCTTTTTTCACCTTCTCTATGCTCTCTCTCTATTTCTTTCTTTTTGTATCTTTCTCTTTGTTTTTTTTCCCTCTCTATTTTCTTTTTTAACCCATTTGACTTCTTTGCTTATATTTCTACTCTCTTCCCTTTTTTCTTTTTTTAGTATTGTTTTATTTTTATTATTTTTATTTTTTTTCACTGTAACTATTATTATTATTGCTATTGCTCTCTCTCTTTTATTATTTTTTATATAAATATATAAACAATTTGATTAAGAAATAAGAGCATAAATGATTGAAGAAAAACATGATTTTTGATATTCTAATGCCTTTTTAAATTTTGTATTCTCAGCAAGCATTATTTACAGATTTAATAACATGGAAGAAATTGTTTTCCTTTCAAGGCATTGGATGCTAAAAAGAATTATTTATAGAGTTAATAATCATAAAAAATTGATCTTAAAGTGGTTTAAAATATTTTTATTGAAAATAAGAAACAAGCATGGAATGGGAGAAAACTTAGGAGAGAATAGGAGATAAAATATTTATTGAAATATATTTCTATCTTAAATTGGTAAGAGACATGGAGGAGAATAGATTGGAAAACAATATTGGTAACACACTTTGAAGTAATTTGGAACTAAGCAACTGAATAAGAGATAAATGCTACAAATTAGCTTATATAAATGAATTTAGGAGTGGAGGAAAGCATGACTCTGGAGATCAGTGAAAGTAAAGCTGTGACCCAGTTTTACAAATAAGGTAGGAATGGGGGAAAACATCATACTGGAGAACAGTTAAAGTAAACTGGGAACCAGTTAAAAATAAAAATATTGAGTTAGGAGTGGAGGAAAGCATATGCTGGAAACAGTTAAAGCAAAACTGTGAACTAGCCAAAAATAAAAAGTTAGGAGTGGAGGAGATTATACCTGGGGTTCAATTGAAATAAAGTTGTGAACCAGTTAAAAATAGGGGTAGGAGTGGAGGAAAGCATTGCTGGAAGGCAACTACTCGAGTTGTGAACCAGTTCTCTAATAGATTTGGCAGGAGTTAAGGAGAAGGTTGGTGTGCAGTTAAAATAATACTGTGAACCAGCCAAAATAATTAAGGTAAGGAGTGGAGGAAAGCATTGCTGGAAAGCAGCAGATTAAGATGCGAACCAGCTAAAAAATAAATTTAGGAGGAAGTGGAAGAGATTTTACTGGAGAATAGGAGCTAAACTGTAAACCAGTCTAAATAAATAGAGATAGCCGTATGGGAAAATACAGCTGGGAAATAGACATTTAAACTATGAATTAGCTAAAAATTAGACTCAATAGAATATGAGAATAAATTTGAAATAAACAAAATAAACTTTGTGGAAGTAACAAACTATAGAAGGAAATGTTGATTGCTTATGAAATGACTTTAAGAGAAGGAAAATACTTTTTGTCAAGATTATGGATATTAGATGTCATTTAAGTGAAGTAAAATATAGATTTGTGGTAATGGGTCTTAGGACTGAGGAATATATATGAAATATTGACTGTTAAAATGATAAAGATTTAGAATAGTGTTTATTGTTTAGAATTTTGGGCGTAATAGTAGAATGATAAATGTTTAGAATAAGATATTTTTTCTTTTCTTTTTTTTCTTTTTAAGATGTAAATGGACAAAATTTGGAACAAAGTTGATTGAGGGAATTTGAATAATTGTACTTACTTTATGACGGACCAAACCCTTGCTTTAAAAAGATGTATTTTATGTTTTATGTTTAAAAAATAATAAAAAAAAATTTGGGAAAAAAGAAATCCAAGGCACATGATCAATAGCAAATAGGCAACAACCTATAAAGTATTCACATCCCTGGCAGAGGATGGCCCTTCCAGAAAGTGGGCTTATTACTAAAATAACAAAGCTCTTACCCATCACTCCCTAACTGATAAATCTAGTAATTAAGTATATAAAACTTTCTAGTTAATTTATCTGTAACAGGAAAGGGGAGTCGACCCTGAATCAACTGCTTGGCTTGGTACAAGTTCCTTAATGTAGCCTTCCTGGAATTTTTTGGCAAGTATATGAGGCCCAAGGATGAGAGGTCCCAAAGGGAAAACAACTAAGAACAGAAGTGAGCAAAATGAAGATATTTTTTTCAACAAAATGGAGTTTCAACAAAATAGATAGGCCAGTTTTACACATACTCCATTAGCAAACACAGGAATGGTCACTTAAAAGCAGCAGAGAAAAGAGTGCCTTTTCTCTGCCAAGCCAATCCCTTTCCTTCCACATGACCACATAAGATCAAAGGTATTGTTAGGGTACAATACCTCAGATAAATAACTTGTAATAGGGGAATGAACTTAGATCTATATTATGTTAAGCATGCACAAAGAGCTTTTATTCCAGTGAGAGACGTGTCAATATCTAAATATTAGACAAAAGGCTTTATTATACTGTATAAATCCAAGTGATCTGACTTTACCAATCACAGATATATATAACAAACACTGTGGAGGAAAGGCATCTTAAGATAGTAGATTTGTTCTCCTCTTATTTATTTGTTTATTTAATCACATTGATTTATCTCCTCAAATTATTAAAAAATCAATTTATAAATCATGAATGTACAAAGTATATAAAAATACAAAATATGTAATATTTATATAAATGTATATAAATGCATATATCATACTTCTGCATAAATTCATTTCTTTTTAATGCAGCAATAGATATATTTTTAAAAAGTACAATGGATTGTACTTACCGACTTTGTGGCTTCAAGCTGCAAACCATGACTTATCAGGTTTGACTCATAGACTTGTCTCTTCCTCTGTTAAAATTGGTTAAAAATTGTGAAACTTTTTAATGATTTATATCTTTCAAAAGAAATGAAAACATTTTAACAAAAATAAAACATTGTTTCAATTAATTTCATTTATCACTAAAACAAAATTTAGAATTTAGCCTTCAACAATTAATAGAGATACACAACCAAGAATTTCTTTTTGAAGAAATTAAATAAAATTTGAATTATTAGATTTATTTGGTAAAACTAATCAATAAAAATTGATTTAATTATAAAATTAGATTTTTCTTTTAAACTGGAATTTTTGCCAAAGCCATTGAACACAGTTTTGAATTTGATCATAATCATAATTTGGCACTATGGAAGTACTTTTTTTCTTCACTTGCATCTTTCTTTCATTAGCTGTTATAGAGTTTGTATCAAACCACCATTGACAGTTGTGATAAAGACAATCAACATTTGTTTTACTTACCTTCCAAATCAGGATTCTAATAAAGTTGGTTTAAATTTTGACTTGTAAAATGAACCATGTTTCTCATTTCAGAGATACAGTAGAAGAAGAAGCAAGAGGACTAACAGCAGCAGCAGAAGAAGAAGAAGCAGAAGCAGAAGCAGAAGCAGAAGCAGAAGCAGAAGCAGAAGAAGAAGAAGAAGAAGAAGAAGAAGAAGAAGAAGAAGAAGAGAGCAAATAAAGAGAGAAGGATGGAATGAAGAAGAACCGCACGAGTGAGCCCTTAGAATTATACATAATCCATTTTTTTGTATTTTCTTCCCAAGCTGATGGTGAGGATTGCAATACATCTTAAAATGATATCAGTGTTATATAACTCTTACTTCCCTATTGGTATTTCATTTGGTCTTAGAGGTGACTTTGATAATCTTAAATGGGATTTAATATTGAGGGAAAAATAAGCATAGTTCAGGGATTTAAATTGCAGTTTTTGACCCCAGAGTAAAAAGAGTTGAAAATGTGTTTAATTCAGTCACCTTGCAAAAAGGTTTTGGAGAGCCATCCTATTTCTATGCTATTAACACTATTCCATATTGTTTAGGAACAGAATGTCAAAGGAAATATAAGGGCTAACACAGGAATGAACAGCACATTGCCACTTACAGTCATCTCAAAACACTAAAGTGTCTCTCCTGATGTTCTGCCTGATTCGAGAAGCTGATAGCTCCTGCAGCTGCTGCATTAAAATGTTGGCTGTGCACATATCTAATCATTATATGGCTGGGTACAATTATGAAGACAGTTATGAAAAGCACTGTTGGTTTTTATCCAGAACCTACTTTACTTAAATATCTCAACAGCTTTTCTGTTTTTCATTTTCCATATTGAATTAAAGACTGGGTAAAAGCAGCAATCTCTTCTCGAGTATATTATATCACAGTGTGGCAGCCATAGCTACTCTTCTCAACCTGCATCAAGATTTAAAGCATAGGAGACTTCTGGTGGCACCGCAGGCACCGAGGACGCTCTTCCCTTGAGCGCTAGCCCCGCGATCTTGCAAATCAGCTGTCTAGCGGCTTGAAAACTTTCTCCCCGGGAAAAGGGGAGGAAGAGAGCAGACGGGCATAGGTAGAGCTCCCCAAGGAGCCCCAGAAACAATTCTGGGGCTTGAAGGGTGAGAGCTCCCTGGAAGCCTGACAGAGCTCCAGATCCGGGACATTTCTGCTTCAAGCAGAAGACGCCGCGACCACCTCTGCAAACCACGCTTGAATAAACATCATTCGGAAGCAGGCTGAATAAACTCAGGAGAGATGAGATCTGCAAGTACTGAACTTTAACTCCAAATGTATATTATTTCCTTCTGATTTATTAAGGGGAGAAAGTGAAACCAAGATAGCGATTGTGCTTTAACGGGGTGTGAAAGCGAAAGTTAAAAAGGAAAGTTTCTTTTAGTGTTGGCAGCCCCTGTCTAAAATTAGAGATTTGTGGGTTTTTTTTAAAAAGGAGAAGATTAGAGATTACAGCAGTGATCCTTAAAAAAAAAAAAAGGACTGATATTATTTAAAGACTGATTTCTGGATTTGGTGGATTTACAGTTCTGGCAGTTGACTGAATTGAAATTGGAAACTAAAAATGGCTTCAAAACAAATTAAGGCTATTGTCCCCAAAAGTGCTAGGACTTCACCAGCTCAAACGTCCAGATTGCAATTTCTCTCTGTTCCAACGGAACCAACAATATTAACATTTGAAATGTTGCAGGAAGCCCTCAAAACACAAGCCTCTGTTACAGAAACAAAAATTGCTTCAATGTTTCAGGAGCAAACTCAAGAAGTTGCTGAAGAAATTGCACAGGTCAAAGAGACTATTCAAAAATGAAACCAAGAAATTAGAGAAGATATTATTATGGCAGTACAAGGATTGGCAGGACAAATTGAAGCAATAGATGAAAAAGTGGAAGAAATTAAGCAGTCTAATGAGAACTTGGAAAATAAAATGGGGGAGGTCCAGGACAAGATGGAAAGAGCAGAGGCGGATGTGATAATGATACAATATAGAGACATGGAATTTGCTTTGAGAATAAGAGGCCTCAAGGAAAATAAGCAAGAGAATTTGAGAGAGATCTTTTCAGAAGCATTTGCACAGATAATGGAAGATCAAAAAGCAAATTTTGAATGGCAAATTGACAAAATTTATTGTGTCAATTCATGGGTGGCCAGACAGAAAAATCTACCAAGAGACATTGTAGTTTATTTTACAACAAGAAGATTACGCAATGAAATCCTACAAGTCACTTTTAAAAACAAACTTCAAGTGCAGGGGCAGGAGGTTTTAACACTGAAAGAAATTCCCCCCAAAATGTTGAGAGCCAGAAAGGATTATGCCTTTCTGGTGGAAGAATTGAGATACCGTCAGATACAGTATAGATGGGAAGTTCCAGCTGGTTTGGTGGTGAATTATTCAGGAGAAAGATACCATCTCAATTCAGTGTGGAAGGCAAGAGATTTTTATACCAATGTATTAAAGGCTGGATGCCCTCAGCCCCAGGAAGCTAGAAGGAAGACGGAAATAGAGGGGGCAAGAAAGGGGGAGAAAGAAGAATTGTTGGTACAGGCCCAAAAGGGTGATTTGATTATTCAAGAAGAATTAATACAATTTTCGACTACTGTTCAAGCTTTGGAGATAGAAGAACCTAAGGATCAAAGACAGACTCGAGCGGCAGCCAAGCGTCAAGAAGAATTAAGAGTGCAGCAACTTCAAATGATTCAAGATACTACAAAAACAGAAGCAGTGGGAGGAGCAAAGCCAAAAAGTAAAATGCATGGAGATTTCCAGCAGGTGCTCCAAGTGCTTCAGAGAGCCAATAATGGCAACTAGATTTTTGACCTGGAATGTTAATGGCCTAAATTCACTACAAAAGAGGAGAAAAATATTTCATTATTTGAAACAGTTTAAAAATGATGTAATTTGTTTACAAGAGACTCATATTAGAAGTAAAGATCAAAAATATTTAATAAATGCAAGGTTAGGTATACATTTTGTTGCATCTGCTCCTGAGAAGAAGAATGGTATAGTTATATACCTAAAAAAGACTTAATTGCCAAATTAATTGAAGCAGATGATCAAGGAAGATTTTTAGCAATTGAACTGTTAATAAAAGGAGAAAAAATACTTTTAATTGGAGTCTACGCACCGAACCAACAACAGGAAAAATTTTATAAGCTTTTACATTCCAAGTTATTACAATGGGATTATAAATCATGTATTTTATTGGGCGACTGGAATGGAGTTTTGGACACTAAAAAAGATAAGAAGGGGCTCTTGCAGAACATTTCAACGTGTGCCAGATTGCCAAAATCGTTTTTTGAAATGATGGAGGACATGGAACTGAGAGATATCTGGCGAGAGAGAAACCCCGAAGAAAAAGACTTTACCTTTTTTTCTGATAGACATCAATCTTTCTCAAGGATTGATTTTATATTAATTACAAATGATTTCTTTTCCAGAGTGAAGAAGACGAAGATTTGCCCAAAAGTTTTAACCAATCATAGTCCAGTCTGGATGGAATTAGAGTATGGAAGGGGATCTAAGAGGTCTTGGAGGTTAAATGAAAATTTGTTTAGATATGAGGAAAATGTAAAAGAATGTAAAAAATTTATGAAAGAATTTTTTATTATAAATATGCATAATCTATGGAAATGGTATGGGATGCAAGTAAAGCATATATAAGAGGCATTTTGATATATTTGAATAATAAATATAGACGTAAACAGGGGAAAAAAGGAAGGACTTAGAAGAGGAAATCAGGAAAAAAGAACAAGCTTTGATATTGAATCCAGCAGATAAGAAAATAAAAGAGGCAATTAATTTATTGCGCGGGGAATTTAATATGTTAATGGCAGATCAGGTCGCAACTAATTTGCAATATGCTAAACATAATACTTTTTGTAATGCTAATAAACCAGGGAGGTGGTTAGCATATTTGTTAAGGAAAAAGCAAAAGTCACAGACCATAGAGAAAATAGAATATAAAGGTAAAGAGGTTTATCAGCAAAATATGATTAAAAAAGCATTTTTAGAATTTTATACGAGGTTGTATGCTGGTGATAAAATTCAAGGTACAGATATAGATAGATACCTACAGAAAGAGTATACTCCTACAATTACAAAAGAGCAAAGGGAGGGTTTAAATCAACTAATAACTACTGAGGAGATTACGTCTGCAATTAAGCAGTTGAAAGTGGGTAAAACTCCTGGGACAGCTTATTATAAACATTTGCAGTTAGAAATGGTGGGACCACTTAAAGAATTATTTACTAATATACAATCTGGAGGAGATGTACCCCCATCTTGGAGGACAACTTATATTTCTTTGATTCCAAAGGAGGAGCAAGACCATACCCAGCCAAAAAATTATAGGCCCATATCACTCTTAAATACAGATTACAAGATTTTTGCTAAAATATTAGCAAATAGGTTAATGACAGTCATGCAACAAATGATTCATAATGATCAAACTGGTTTTATAAATGGTAGACAAATGAAGAGTAATGTAAGGCAAGTTGTTAACCTATTG